TTACATGTCTCTGTTCCAAATGATCTCTGTGTACCAATATGTTCCTACTTTTAGACGAGGTATTTTTTACTATCATTATGCCTCATTAAGTACATTTAAGGTGGTTCCATACAAAGAACCAATAGAATGATTGCATCGTGTAGCAGGATTAGGTCAGAGGCCGCAATAAATTCTAAGAGCTTCATTGAGTTATATTTTTTATTTCGGTATAACCTATTTGTCCATAATACGAACAAATTTCTTGGTTGACTTGATCGAGAAAACCGTCCAAAATTTTTTCTGTATGTTAACCTGACATTATTTAACTATATTTATATAGAACATATCTGATTACGATCATTAAGTAGTCTGTTTTGTCCCATTGGGATTCTTCATTGTTAATGTGTAAAGCAAAAACAATTAGCAGAAGCATATATAATATGATGTAAGATGTAGTATGTTAGGATAAAGTCGTAAGGTTCTTCCATAGTAGTTGCGAAAGTATCAATCCTTCTTAAGATTCGCGGGTTGAAATAATTGATTTGAAAATAATATTTATTTAAACGTGGACATGTTCCATCGATGCACTTATTTACACATATAAGATATATTTTTCAGACAGAGTCATTCTTGATACTATCCTTTCTTTATGTTCATTTTGGAGTCACATGAAGTTTCTAATTACCCTCGCGAATTAAATACGACGCAGATGTTGCAGTGTCGGCATAGTTTGCACGTTCTTACTTCGACATATTGGCTTGCATCCTATCTATAGAAATTCATAACGACCGTATTAAAATAATCAGTCTTTCTGACAGTGATCTGACAAAAAGTGAGGAGAGCGATTAAAAATCTTCGCGTCGTGAAATCCTCGCACACGACGTTGGGAAAAAGTCACTTAGACCAATAAAGATGCAAATTTTTTGGTATGAACAAGTAACAAAGAAAACATTAAATTAATTTAAGTTCTTGTCAATCAATCACTTACTGATGACATACGTGACATAAATGACACAAATGACATACGTGAAGTCTGCGTGACTATCTGCTATTGAAGTTGCGTACCAATGAAGTAATGAAATACAATAGGTTCTGGAACTAGCACGCTAAATTACAAAAGGTACTCAGTACAGAACACAATTAGTGGATAGTTAGATATGGTATCTCGAAAAAGTATTTACGAGTTTCTAACAGATCTGCTTCTGTTACTGAGCTACAAGATGCTTTATCCACTTATAATTCATATATGTGTATAGTCGATCATATAATGTATCTTATTTTTAGAATGTATCCATACATGCAAATGTATGGACATATAAATATCGAAAATAGAGCCGTTAGAGCTGGGGTTCAAACGCACCTGTTTTTCTAAAAGTGTATTTATATCTCGCAAGGACGCATAGCTTTTCATATAATGTTCGCAAGTATCCATCTCCTTTCACTTGTTCTGCAATTCTCGCCTTAAAAGTATTCCCGCCGCAAAAGCTCTGAAATTGAGAGCGAACTCATATTAAGTTAAACTGTACTGAATATTAAGTTAAGTTGTACTGAAACTGAACATTGAGGACTCTGCGAATAGAATATCGCTGTATCGCGGTTTGGTAAGTAAGATTTGTTTAGGATCACTACTCATGTATGTTTCTCAATCGTCCACTTTCGGAGTTGAGTTGCACAAAGAAACAGAAATCAATAGAAGAGATTGACGGAATCTTTAGTTTGTGAAATCAGTGAACAATAAAATAAAACGTTAACGCACATAGTTGTACTTAGTCGCAAAAATTCATTAGCTGATTCGAAAAAAGTTCACGCACCTCTAAGACTGATACATTTCTTCCACTATCACCGATATATCCATACAGTGATTTCTATCGGAAACGTGTCACTGCATCAAATTTCGTTTTCAAAGAACGTAGTAGTTTGTCTAGAAATTCGTAATCTAGTTGTCAACCGTTGCAGTTCATCAACTATTGATCAAAAATCGCTGAACTGATCTTACCATAAGAAAACGAAGAACGAGACGGAGGGAAATGATGGAGATTTTTGGGACAAAGTTCGCGCTGCTGAACGTTTCATTGAAGCGAAGATTGGAAACGCTTGCAGTTGCGGTGTACTTTTCTGTTTTCTTATTTGTAGTCTTCACGGGATATTTCGGAAAATATGTTATCGGAATATATTGCATCATTTATACGAAGATTCTGCGCTACATCGTGTTGCTCTACGTCATCTGGATGTACTATGACAACAACATGCACTATGACGATTTGATGCATGTCGGCGACAAAAGGTAATTGTAATCAGTGAAAAAAATCATATGTGCTATTCCAAAATTATATTGTCTCTTATTATTCTAGTACGAGCAATTCAAGCGTTCGAAAGGAACAAGGAATGTTCCGAAGAATTTAAATTGTAAATGTCCTTTGTCAGAAAGATAAATATAGTTTCCACGTCAGAAGTGATTTTTATTACTTCTTACAATTTTTTACATCGTTGCGCGTCCATTGGAACCTGAACGTTTCACTTAACTTAATCTTAATTCCGCAACAAAACATGAAATCTTGCTGAATTTCTTCACCGTCGCTTCTTAAAATATTACCGAACGTGTTACGTTTTTCGAAATAATAAATTCCTGGAAACATACTGTTCGTATAATTATCTTTTTATATTAGAGAAACGTCAATCAGTTGCATCTACGTCAAAGTGTTAAAATTATAATATACCTGTTATTCAGAATATGAAATGAAGTTTCATAATTGATAATACACATTGCATTCTACAGACATGTGCACAAATATGCACGAACATATAAATTCAATGTAAGAATGCAGTGCATTTGTAAGGTTCATGAATCCATCAGTAAATTTCTACGTAAATTTAAAGTAGAGTATTTCGTACGTAAGCCAGACTTAATTTTCATGAAACAATATTGTATATGCATTAACAGAATAATTGATCCAACAGTATAATTTATATAAATCACGTAATCTTCGGCAATGCGATAGATTTTACTTAACCAGTTGAATTTCCACGTTTGCAGGGCACGAATCAGACAGTGGTTAAGAACGTGTACATTCAAGCGTTTCATTTGCAACTACTTTCCTATAAAACTAGTGAAAACCACCGATTTGGACCCGAACAAATCATATTTATTTTGTAATTTTCCACATGGGATAACGTGTACGGGAATTTGGTTTGCCTTTGGTACAGATATCATCGGATACCACCAATTGTTTCCGGGTATCGAAATACGTATAATCATATTGAATCGACATTGGACGACACCGATTTTCAGAGAGTACATTCGCGTCACTTGTACGTAACATCTAAAAATTTTTATCCAATCATCTCCCAAAAAATTATTCATCCATGTGTATACTATAATAACAAAATTGGTGTTTGCTTTATTAATATGAATTAATATGAAATATTGATTATTCACGCTCTGATTATGGTTTTGTTCATAACGCGATCATGTATACTTCGCGATCCACACTTATTATGTTGATTTAATCTTCATAGAATAGTCAGATCGCGGAACTGTATTTCTTGCTGAAAAGATGCAGTCATGGAATAATTTTCTCAGTGCAGTTATAATATTATTATGTAACACTACATTATATTTGCACTGTTGGCACCAAATTGATAGATCCCCTTCGTTTCGAAATTGAAATAATCTTTTTCGATTTAACTTTATAGTACACGTTAATACGTACATGAACTGGTAGCATGCCCTTGTTAGTCCACATAATGATATTTAAACATAAAGCCTACGAATGTTGTTCTATATGCACAATTAGTAAAATCTCATTTGAATATCTAATTCTAAATAAGAAGTCGCCAACATGATAGTTTTGCAAGAACTACAATCGATTTACTGAATAATCAATTTTACAAGTCGACCTAACAAGAAGAATTTGCTTTTATCACCTATTTACGGATAATTACATGAAATTTTCCAATTAAAATATTTTTCTTTACGGAAGTATTTTCCTCTAGAATATTTTATTGAACCTCACGTAATATGTACTTACTGAATCCATAACGTAACATGTTAGTTGGGTAATTAGTTGGGTGCTAGGAAAATAGTAATTCCGTGAATCAAGAGATTTATTACTATTCATCATCCCAAAATTTCTTCAATAATGGTAATAAATGTCTTCTTAATTTTCCATTTGTCTAATTCCTTCCTGTTTCACACTCCGAGAATTTTATTAGTTTAATTACTATTCCAATTGCAGATTCTGTTGATAGCAATGCAGAGAGCATGAACCGGATACTATCGATGAAACCTAAGGCTCCATACACCGGAAGAGCATCAGTTCTGATGCCCGGTGGAGCAGCAGAAATGATGGAATCCAAGCCGGGAACTTATCGTGTCGTTACACATAGGAGGAAAGGCTTCGTAAGGATCGCACTGAGAAATGGGTTAGAATTGCTATTATTTCTATTGATTCGGATGACAATCTCGAGAGAACATGAAACAATAGAAACGGCGCTTTCAATTAATTAAATTCTTTCACTTTCAGTTCAGTGATATAATTTACAAGAGAGAATGCTAAACAACAGTTAAATAATTTCGAGTCATCATTTAATGTATTGCAATTCGTCGTTCTGTTGGCATCCTTGAAACTATATTATATATTTTATGTTATAAATGTGTGAGAAATATTAATGATAAACTGTGTCAGATATCGTGCAGAAAATTGGCTAAAGCAATCCGTTCTAAAATTCTAATCACAGTGTAAATTTTTGTGGCCGTTTCTTACTTCAATATTAATTTCTATGCATTCATGCATTTTTATGCATTTTATGCACTTTGGGCACTTACGATTTCATTCTCCCTAACATAATTACAAAAATGTATGAAATATTTAAAGCAGAGTATATATTGTAATGTATAAATAATATATAAATGTCAGACAAGAAAAATGCCTACATTTAGTATGTTTCATTTAATATAATTACGATACTTATATTTAACGTAAAATTACGTGGAACTCTGTATTCTACTTACAATTTAATGGTAAAAGATTAGTACTGTTGCAATGTCCCTTTACGACAGCAGAACTCATTTGTTTTAGCGTTCCCATTGTTCCTGTCTGTTCGTTCGGAGAAACGGATATATATGACACAGTGATCTTTCCGGAAGGCTCGCTTATGAAGAAAATTGTAATATTCATTCGTAAAATAATTGGTATCCCCCCCATGATTCTCATAGGCTGGGGATTCTTCCAGAATTATTTCGGTATCATACCACGCCGAACACCAATCACTGTCGTTGGTAAGTATTTCAACGCCAGAAGCATGTATCAATAACGAAGCGCAAACAGATGTATGTGATAATCTAATATAGATTATTAGAATTTTAACAATTTCCCTTTTATTACACGATTTTCCTGGTAGAGATCCGGAGTAGAATTCAGCAAAATTCGAAACATACCAAGAACAACGTTAT